GGATTTGTGGTGGACAAAGTGGCACTGGGGCAGGTTTTCTCCGAGTACTTCGGTTTCCCCTGCCACTCTTCACTCCACCAATGGCTCCACAATCACCCTCACCTGTCATCTGGGGCTGGTACAATAGGCCAGAAGTGGCCGCAGTACAAGGGACTTAGTCTCACCCCACTAGCAATAAAGAAAAATAATACTGTAAATAGGATGTACTGGAACCCAAACTCTGGTGCTTTCGGCTCCATCTTCCCCGACACTTTTGGGTGAGATAGGGTTGCTTAATAGTTTAGTGGCTTGGTCTTGGGTTAGAAAGTGTCTGTGTTTTATATGAACTCTGTTATCATTTGTATGTTGCTCAAAAATCACCTGATGGCCTATCTGATCTGAAACATATTGTGGTGGAATAATAACAGCATTTGTTTGCGTGATGGAAACCCATCCATTTTTATTTGTAAGCACCGGTAACGTTCTGGTAACTTGAACAGCAGAGAGAATTACAATGTTCTCGTACACAAGGAAATTATAATTTTAAAGTCGTTGCTTATTCTACGCTGGATGGAGTAAATTTTATGTCATTCTTCCTAACACTGGCATCCAACAGTGTGTCTATGAAAAACAGGGCTATGTGCAGACTTGCTGTTCATGCAGGAGAGGAGGATGACCAGTGAGGTGGAGGAAACCTGACTGCAAGAGAAGAGACTGATGCTTGAATTTTGGGAGGAGACAGTCTCCTAAGATGGAAAATAGCTTAGCAGCAGAAGGCAGTTGAAGGAGAGGGGAAAGGTATCTCCATACATATAAATCAGATGTATCTTGGGTTCCACGTTGGTGTGGTCCTTATTTGCTGCAGGTAAAAGGTAAAGTTGTCCCTGTGCTTAACTAATTAAGCACGAGGCCATGAAGATGTATGGGGGAGTGGACGTATAGATTCATGTGTTCTTGATCTGGGCACTAGATGGAAGTGAGTGGTCAGCTTCACACCTCAGCTGCTTTACCGCTAGTACTTATTGGATAGGACATAGGGCTTCGCCATACCTTAAGCGGTTAGTCGCTGGCTTCCCACCACGGTGGCCCGGGTTCGATCCTGGGTCTGGTCAAGTGGGATATGTGGTGGACAAAGTGGCGCTGGGGCAGGTTTTCTCCCAGTACTTCGGTTTCCCCTGCCAATCTTCATCCCACCAATTGCTCCACAATCGCCCTCACCTATCATCTGGGGCTGCCACTGCTGACTTATGTGGTTGGCAAAGTTATATATGCTACATATTGTCAGGTGTTGGGTATGTAACGCAACAAATAACTTCACGCCGTCTTGGATGTAGCGAATTTATTGCACATTCGCTCTTACACTTATAAAATTCACAGTTTCACAACTACTGCAATCTGCAGTATCACAGTTACTTCTGCTCGAGTCACTGCCATTCACTCGATGTAACTCAACTCGTAGCTGCTGGACTTCAGTTCATACTGGATACTGGTAACTCTCTCTCTAGTAACTCAATACTCACTACTCACTACTACTGAATAGTGTTCGCTGCTCCTTATTTAGGCTCGGCATGGACAACATAGAAACACATTGCTGCTCAGCAACAGATACAAAGTATTATTGACAGGTGTTTCTATCTAAGCATTGTCTAGCAATAGTCACTGCTCGGACTCACCTGTTGCGTGACGTCACAGCCTAGCAGGGAGGGGTGTTTACTGAGCGTTGCGTAATGATGGGAGGAGTGGGGGTACGTGACGTCACTCATGGAAATGCAGAGTTCACGTGACCCCTACTTCCTGTTGCACCATCCACATCACAATATGTTAATGTTAAATTGATAAGAACAGCAAACAAACATCGTATGGAAGGACCAGTGACGAGCAGCATGGGTTCTGATTACTGACCGACAGACTGCACCCGTTGTTTCCCACATGGTCCAGACCAGGGCAACTGGCAGCTTACTTTGTGCAACTGAGGCACTCATGAACCCTTGACAATGGAGGTAGGAACTGTCTCTGAAACGTCAGACACTGACTTCACAAAGATATAGCTGATCACTCCAGAAGATTTCATTATATACAGTAAACCATTGCTAATCTGGTTACACTTAATCTGGATCAAAATCTGAAAAATTCTGTTCACAGTTGAATACATACTTTAAAAGATATGTGACATTTAGGAAGGCAGATGAGTCACTTTGACTGTGCAGATACGGAACATACATTATATTGTCTTATGTGTTGTTCAGTATCGTTGTTGACCCTGAGTTGGGCAGATGTTATTGCTTCAATAATCCAGATCACCCCTCTTCCAGTTAATCTGGATTAGCAAGGGTTTACTGTGCTGTTAACACAAAAGTTTGATATCATATACAGTGTGGTCACATTTTATGCAAATTTGATATAGTGCAATATAAAACATACTGTCTCACTTTATGTACAAAGTTTGAAATAATATGAATCCCAAAACAATTGGCAATACATTTATTCCTATGAGAAAACGTGCCCTGAATTATGTGGGGTCTTCAGGAACTCATCCATCACATAAAATGTGACCGTACTGTGTATGTCTCATTCTTTTTGTAAACTTCTTGTCAGGAATAACTAGGCAAAATTTTATTTGCACTTGCCTGTATAATGAAACATCTCGAAAGAGATGTTCTTGTTAAACAGGCAAGTGCAAATTTAAAAAAGACATTGTTCGATTTATTAGCCCACATACCCTATTTTGAAAAAATAAAAGGAGGCTTGTGAGATTGCCTAGCTGTACATGTGTGTATATGTAACCCCCTCGCCCCATTGTGGCCAGGCAACAGCTTCATATACACATTCCCATGACAAGGAAGACACATACAATATGAGAATTACTGGACATGATGTTTTCCGTGCGGTCCATGTTGTATCAAAGGAAAGTAGGCAATTGGTTCTTCCCAGAACTTCTTGCTTTTCTAATTATAATTATATAATTACTATCAGTGTAAGAACCTTCTACTTCTTTGGATCTGGATAATTTCATCCCATCTGAGCATTTACACCAGTTTACTTTCAGGATACTTGTACTGCATTAATACAGATGGCAATAACTGTTGTCTATAAGTGCCCATATGTTTGCGTGAAGTAGTAGTTCTGATTCTTCAGATGTCAGAACAAGTCTAAATGCCATTCCAGGTCAATAAGTTCCACCTCACCACCAAGTATAAAAAGAGACAAACTTCATCACAACTAAATATGTGACATTTCCAGACATTGCGATGAAAACTGATACATTTATAGAAAATGTGTTTAGATTACTGCCAATTAATGGGCATCATATAAACACATAGTCAGCAGAAATTAATACTCATTTAACAGGAAACAAGAAAGAATAGGGTTTATCAAACATGTTCCCTCTAAAAATCTTGTTGCTTGGTTTATTTGTGGTGTATTGCCAGCCTTGGATGTGACTTGTGAAAGGGGAAGGATGAAGCAGGGAGATCTTCCCTGATTGTTACATTGTCCATGCAAGTTTAAAAGCATACATTTTCAAAAAATAAAATTCTAAATCCATTTAAGTAGTTGATAGCACTGCTCAACAAGTTAGGTATCATTCATTCTCTACATTTTTTCTGCTAAGAATCTTTCTCATCCATATTAATTTGTGATTACATGGCAAAATGATTACTTTTACCTATGAATTAATGTTTACAGATTTAGGACTGGGACAAAATAAACACTATTTTACAAATATTTGGTTTTATATTTTATGAAAGTAATGAAGTGTGATACAGAAAGATGGAATGCACAAAAGAACAATAATGCAAAATGCCTGTACATTTTTACAGTTTCCTTTCTGTACACTCATTCACATGTTTTACTGTAATGAGACACTCTTACTCTTTGCTAAAAGAAATTTCATTTACACTTCAGGACAAGACAGTTTCATGTTATAACGAAAATATAAAACCTGCTTCCTCTTTGAACTTGTGAAATTCACATTCACATGACACTTGCAGGTGTGTATGTGCCGATCAACAAGAGCTGTGACACTCAATAACCTATATACAGTATTTGCAACTTAACCTCTGCTGCATTATATAAATATCAGGAAGTGAAACAAATGAATTTCTGCCGCCTTTTACAAAACTATTAAGTAACTTAATATTATATATATACACACACATGTAAAATTATCTTCACAATGTGCATCCTGTTGCGTTTCCCAAGCGTATATAGTTAGGTTAGCCTTTACCGTAACAGTTGTTGTAAATATTCAGTTGTAAAATATTGATTATAAATCACATTATTGTGGCAATGGCTAACCTAACTATATGCATACGTACAAAAAAATTGCATCACTTAATTTATAGTATTCATTCACTCATATAGTATATAGAGATAAAAACGTTTGTTTCTAAATGTCACTCTGAATTTTTATGTTAGAATGCTAGCTGGATTTGCGCAGTTATAAAAAGTTTCCTTTGTGAAGTTCAATATCACGAGAGCCATAAGATGTGTCTTCTTGGGCCATCATATGGAACGAGTCTCTTACTTACTTATTCACACAATCACTCACCACCACATATACAGGAACAGAAATACATATCATATCTGATATTGTCTTGAACAGTCCACTGACCATACACTACTAGCCAAGTGATAAAGTAGTCTGACACTGTATTTTACACTCTCCACAGAATACATAGTATAGTTCTCACACTTCTTTTCTAGGCCAGGGAAACAATTATGACATGCCTAACCATTAAAACACAAAAGAAATTTGCAGTTTATAAAACACTATTAGTCAGCAAATCCTGTAGTTTATAATGAAGTCTGCTAGGGCAATAGCCATATCGATGTGGAGTCAGTATATGACATTTCAGTGACTGCCTATGAAATGTCAGATACCAACTCCAAACTGACATAGCTAACTGCCTGAGAAGACTTCATTATATACTGTTGCCATGAAAGCATCAAATCATTCAAGTAAGATTTGAGGTTTTCACGGCAGTGATTATGAAGAAAGCCATCTTCTGGGATGGGGCACCGTGTAGATATTGTGTTAACCGACGTTTCGGAGGAGCATCTCGCCTCCATCTTGAGGGCAGAAGAAAAAAGAAGAATATCCGTGAGCGAGAAACCAACATGAGCAGGTGCTGACACATCAGTTAACACACTATCTTCACAGCGCGACATTCCATAAGACGGTTTCTTCAAATCATTCAAGGTTCACTATAAGAACATTGCACATTTCAGCCTTGTCTGCTCTCTCAGCTTGATAAATTGCTTTAATACTGAGGACAATTCACACCTGGATGTAAATATGGGCACTTATCACCATGCCGACAGAAACCACCACGGAAATGTTTGCAGATACCTCGATTCTGGCCACCCCAGCCACGACCTGAAAAATTATGTTAATTCATTATCAATGTATTATATATATGTGTGTATGTGTGCAGGCACACGTGTTAGTGCATCATAGTTCCGTCTGATGAATTAAGATATGAAATTGGTTACTTGTTACAAGAGCCAGCTGTGAACTGAGAGCTTTAAAATTTATTTATTTTAATGAAACTGGATTGCTTTCCCCTGTCCAAGAACTTTAAATTATCAGAACACCTATTTTAATATATATAATGTACACACAAAACTAAGAGGGTGATGTAGCAGAACCCACCTCCACGACCAGCACTGCCACCACTGCCACCACTTTGCCAGTTGTTACCCATGTGAGGTCCACTAGGTCGGTACCAAGGGCCACCACTTGGTCCTCTGGGTCCAATCTGATTTCCACCTCTCCCACTGCGCATTACACTACCCATATTAGGTCCCCGACCACCTCGGAATGGGTACATTCCTGGATGAGGACCACCCACATGGAAACCCTGTGGCCCATATGGACCCATATCTTCACCTCCCATCATGTTATAATTCATATCCGGACCATGGCCCCCTACTCCAGGCAAACCAGGTATGCCCATGCCCATGGGTGGACCTGCTTGGTTGTACATGTCCATCTGCATAGGCATTTCATTGACTGGGAGCACCTTTCCATCACCAGTCTGAAACAGAAAGTGCATGATCTAACAATAAGCTATATTAGCAATTAAATAAGAACTGATATAGAATCATTAAAACAGAGATCTCTCTATTTCTTTGCGATTTGTTACAATTGTGGCACTACATAATTTACCTTCATCTGTTGATTATTTAACCCTTTGTGGTCTAATTTTTGTGTAATTTGTCAGCAGTCATATTTATTTTTACACAACTTAGAAAAATTACCACATGAAGATAAAGGAAGAGAAAATCACTGCAAAGATACTACACACACTTTCTCATATATGACTGACCTCAGAAACAAAACTGGTAGCTACTCAGTAGATCACTGTTAGTTACTGAATATAAAAATTCTTATAAAGCACTCCTGTCAGAACCAATTACAGCTGAAGCTTTCACATAAGCTCCAAAGGCAAGAGCAAAATCTTGTGTGGGCCAGCTCTTTCCCCACCCCCACTTTAGACATTTCACCATATTGTGAATTTTCTCTCTCCTTGTTTAAGTAGCAGCAGGGTTCAGAGGACTCACAAGGACACACTATTTGTAGGAACTGATTCCTGATAAATAAATCTTTGAAAAATGAATGTTCAGGCAATATTTTGGAAAATGATCTTTGCATTTTGGTTTTAGGTTCACGTCCATGTTGACAATGACTCCACGAAATGTTTTATCTCTGGCAGCATCATGTCAGAACAAGGTGCCCAGTGATTCTCACAGTGGTGTATGATTCTGAATTTTCTCTTTGTATTCTCAAGAATTGACAGCAAACACTTCTGAGATCAATATAAAACAATTCTAATGGGGAATGAAGTCACATACACCCACTGGAGGCTTTTAACTCTCTGCCTAAGTGTGTGATATCTTTGAAAAAGCTAGGTCATAACTGCCACATATCTTCCACTTACTATCAGCTTTCTGACTGTGACTTCCATGGATATAGCTTCACTCACATCATCATGAATCTCATGATTACTGTATCCATATTTACTTTCAGACGCAGAAAAATCCTCACTGCCACTGCAGAATTTATAAAAAAATTGTTCTAATATAATCAGTACTCAATTTTGTTTTTATTCATTTTTACAGCTTTGTGAAAACTGACTGTCATTTTATTTAACTGCAGAAATAACAGAAAAATTATTCAGAAGGCAAGCGATTTCAGTACATGAAATTCAATGAAGAGACCACAAATGGCAAAACACAGTTCACTTGCAGAACTACTGGCAGATATTTCCTGACTCAGATTGGCATATTAATAATCCTGGAAGTGCTCAACATATGACTGCTGAGGGTTAATGCCTCTATACTCTCTGCAGATATTATTTAGGTTCAGTATTCCATCTTCTCTGGCAAACAGAATACTGTTCCATACAAGGATCCTAATGCAGCAGAATCTCAGTAATACAAACTGAATTATTGTGTCATCCCACCTCCTCCTGGGGGGAATCTCCAAAACTTACAAATTGTATCTCATTATTTTATTTCCTTGCAGTAAAGATGAATTTTTGTGAAACATGGCATTATGTGTTAATGGTCCTGCCTTCCTAGCTGGCAAAAGATGTAACACAATTACTGCTTGCCCTCAGCCCAGCATGTACTCAAACATCCATCGGTTCTGGTAATTGTTTATAATATAAAATGTACCTATAAATCTTCTGACTGCATAATTTTACTAAAAAAATTGAAACTTTTTTTTTTTAAATGCAGCTTTCAAAATGATTCAGTAGTACAAACACATGAAGTAGAGTCAGTAAATAGGTCACAAATGGATATAAAACGTAAAACATGAGATTTTCGAACCTGGAAATACATTTATTTCTTGACATATCCTCCACCAACACTGATACACTTGTAAGTTTTGAGGTTTTCACGGCGAAGAATATGAAGAAAGTCGTCTTCTGGGTTTAGGCGCCAAAACGAAGATTACATGGCGCCTAAACCCAGAAGACGACTTTCTTCACTGATACACTTGTTCCATCGCTTTATCAGTGTGTCAAAACCCACAGCATATAAGTCTTTAGACCGTTTTCTGAGCCCTATCTGCACCTCTGTTTCAGCCTCTTTATCATCAGTGAAATGTTTGCCACCAAGGTGGTTTTTAGCAGACTGGACAGATGGAAGTCACTCGGGGCCAAGTCCAGGCTGTAAGGCAGATGTTCAAGAAGTCCCCAATGTACCTCATTTCTTCTTGATCCTTCAGTTCTCTAGTCACCCGGTGTGTGCACACTTTCCGAAACTTTAAATTATCATGCATTATGCTGTAGAGTAAACCATGGGAACACCCTAGTGCAGTTGCTGCACTGTTTATCACTATCCTACTCTAAGCTTCTGTCACAAACTCAACAGGGTGACCTGGTCAGGCATAATATGCAACTTTCAAAAATCCTTGAGAGAATTTCTCAATCCAGTAGTGAGCCACTTTACATGAGAAACACTTCCCACTGTAAACAGGAAACATTTCTTTAAGAGTACTCTTTGCATTGAGTCCTTTTGCTCACAAAAAAGGATAACAACGCTGCTCTTCAGCGGTCGCCATTTTGACTACTGAAACCAGTCTCTGAACACGTGCATGTGCGTCTGCTACCTAGACTGGCATGAAGCTGGACTGCGCTGCTACCTAGTGACACATGTACAAAACCTATTACATTCATTACAGCTATTTTACTTCCATTTGTGACCTACTTACTGACTCTCCCTCATAGCATTGCTTTAATTAGTTCATATCATTAAGGTTGCACTATGTACTCCTATATCCAGCACTTAAAAGTCGAACAAACAGAAGGGGGACACTGCGCAGTTTCTGCTTAGACATAACACAAGTGAGACAGCTTCTTCAAAACCATATTTGAAGAATTGCAATTCTTATCCTGGAAAACAACTGTCAGTATCAGTAGCAGCTTCCTTAAAATTGGCATAAAAGACTACCAGAGGACTTACAATTGTGGTAGTGTAGTTAAAAAAGTGTGAGATGATTGCAAGTCCAGTGATAAGGAAATGAAATGACATGTGGCATCCATCCATCCAACTTCAAGAGCTGACAACACCACAAAGTATCAAGACACAAAACCTGAGCTTCAGTTTATAATTTATGCTTACCCTCCAATCTCCACCAATCGGATGCATGTTGTTCACTGAGTTTGGTACCATCATGCCCCCTGGCATGGGCAAATTATTGGGCATGCCAGTCTGGTTGGGAAACATCTGTTGGGGCCCTGGGAATGTCTGATTTGAGTGATTTGGGAATGACCCAAATGAAGGTGGCTGAGCTTGCTGGAATTGTGGTGGAGGTGACTGGGGAATTATAATGGGCTTTGGCTCAGGCCATGGTGTATTTTGAAAGTCATTAACGCTATCAGGATTGCCTGTTACATCATCTAGAGGAATTATAACTGGGTCTGAAGGCGGATGGATCTCCATATCCGGCTCTGCAGCGGAATCAGGTATCCTGAAATAAACACAAATGTTATGATATTTTAACCTATCACACATTTAATCCTCTGTATGCTATAAGTGACTGAAAGTCAACATAGCCATGCATAGCATGGAATGGAATACAACTAGCTCATGTATTCTTAACCAGTAGCAACCTATGAACCCATCTCAGAGTAACATTCAATTCTGTTCTGATAAGTGATATATACAAGTTTCAGATGAAAATAAACCCTTCTATTATCACTTGACTGTTTAAGCTAATAGTTCATATCTTTTAAATACACTCGCAGAATAAGTCCAATCCTACCACCAATATGATGATCATGAATGTGATAATTTATATTTATGAACAGTAAATAGATGAAAAAGAGCTTTACTATTACAAATAAACATAAACTTGAATTCTGTAAGATATGTGATACTGACAGTCATGTCACATATTGAAGGAAACAGGCTATGACACTAGATTTCACTTTTCCTATTCCCATAACTAATTTAAATCACTTCAGCACAGTTAAATCAGAGGTTGTATCAGCCCTCCTGGTTTCCTGTCTGCCTACACAAACCACTACCTGTCAACAAGTATCCCTTATGCCTTCTTACATTTAGTTTCTGAAACCCCAAGCAGAGGATCCCATGTTAAAACAATTCCCAATTTATGAGATTTAAAACTTGGTAAGGTAAAAATGTTTACGTTGGAGAGTAATAAGCCACCACCTTTAACTTCTACTGACAGAAATACATATTAGGCCACATCCCCTTTTCACCTTATTCACCCTGAGAGACAATAACTACACCAAAACAAATGGCTAATGCAAAAAGCTGAAGTTATACATTAAAAAGGAGATGTTACATTCTTTGCCATTGGACTTTTGCTGACAAAACTTGCTATGGAAGCTAATATTCCAAAGTTCTTTAATATTTGAGGGCTTTATCTAAGATATTTTCCCTGACTTTATCCAATCACTTTCAACATACATGGTTCTACTGAAGTACAATGCTTGCAGAATGACTTTTTCTCGTGCATACTGAACGTCTTTTTCTCGGCTACGGACACCTGGCTCCACTAAGCTGGGTGGGAGGTCAACTGGAATAAGAGGCTGCCAAGTTGCTTTCTCCTCCATTATATCATCTTGAGCTGCAAAGGAATGTATTTTGCTGACACAATTACTAAGAATTGCTAGTGTCACAAAATGCATTAAAACTATTTTGCTGTCAAAATAAAGATGTAAATGACAATAGGCAGTCCTGTTACAAGTTATTTTTCTTCTATGGTTTTTATCTGTTGTCTAAACAAAGTGCATAATGAACAACTAAAGGGTCATGTCCATTCACATTTCATCTCTGATATTACTCTCAAAATCTGGTAATGGAGGTGTACTTAAAAGTTGTTATGAAAATTTCATTTCAGTTCATACTGGTTAGATATAAACCCAACTTTACATGAATATGAAATCAAACTTCACAGCAATTTCTTTAAGGGGGAGGGACTCACTGTACAAAGAAATATGCACATAGCATGAAATACAACTTCTACCTAATACATTCATTCTCACGGTTTATATTTAACAGAATACAGGATGAAACAATTTCTGACCATGCAGAATGAAATGTAACAAAAGATTTGTATCTGAAACCTCACACAATGGACAACTGAAATTCATTTACATATCTGATAGAAAAAGAATATGAATTGTCCTGCTATAAGAGTTCTGTAGGAAATAAATAAAATACAAGGTCAAAGATGTATGCAATATCACAAAGATGCAGATGGAAAATACAGCACAATATTGATATAAGAAGAATTTATAAAATTTTCAAAAATGCTAATTATGAGTACTCATAATATCAAAAAATGGTTCGAATACATATTCCTCAAGCCAACTTTCTAATTATATATGTATATTATGCTTGTTTTGCAGTTGTTGCCTAGCAACGGGTCTACATGCCACATTGCTCCATCCTTAAGGCTATTTGTACTGCCATTTCTTCTTTTCTGAGGGTTATGCTTTTCACGTATCTTCTTTTGTGTTGGTGGGGGCCAACCCCCTCCACAAAATTCAGTCACTCACTTTCCACAGCCCAGTCAAAAACCTAACTATTCGCTTTTCGATCTTTAGCTCTATAGTCTTCCTGAAGATCCTGCTGGATGTTCTTTCCTTCCCCAGACACAGCTGTTCCTTTAAGTCTCAGTCCCTCATTCCTCCATTGCTGCGTTCCTGGCGTGTCCATCATCTCCTCTTGATCATCCATACTTTAGGGGCTCCTCTTGTAACACTGTCCCTGCCTGGTCCCTGATGACTGTCCCCCTTGCACAGAGCACGAACAGCAGCAGGTCAACCATCTATGGATGATGGCCAACTTCTGCCAGGGCCAATCATCACCCTGAGTCTGTTTCTTTGTCCACAAATGGTGCCTTCCGGCCAGACGCTGGTCCTTCAGAGCTCCGACATGTTCCACTGCGGCCTCTTCCAGGCACCCTTGCATCTTGGTTTCTGCTTTTTCTGATTCACCTCAATCTTTTCTAGGCAGGCCTCTGTAATCTCTAGACTGTCATCCATCAGGGCTTCCATTGTTTCTTGACCAGCTCTCACTGCGGCCTTCCATTCTTTGTGCTTTCCTTCTGTCTTGGCTTGGTGGGCATCCATCCAGGAGACAAAATCATCTATGTGAACCTTCATTTCAGCCATCATCTCTTCATAGCCAGCTTTTATCTCAACCAGCAGTCGTTCCATTTTCTGTTCCAACATTTGTTCTATTTTCTGTGCTGTGATGACATAATGATCTAACGCAATGTCCAATCAATCCAATCCCACCATTTCTGACAACAGTTGTCACATGACTATAGACAGGGCTTGGATGGGTAATTGGATCTATTGGACACTTTGATACAGCATGTTACTACACTTTACATTTTACTATTATACACACACTAGTATCCACAGTCACGTCTTCACTGCTGTTGCTTGGTAGCGGCTTTCAATGGTGGATGTTCTCCTTCTTCTGGGTTCCTGAACTGTCCCCGGCCTCAGCTACCAGCTTCTAACAGCAACAGCTCACAATTACTGAAACCCAGCAGTTCTCTGATTGGAACTCAAAGTCAGAGTCAAAGTTATATTATGACCAACAGTCACTTCGCCACTTTCTCTTGGTGTCAAGCAACATCTGGGGCACAAGACCAGAGTTTTATTACTGTCAGACGATAGCAGATTTTGAAGTGGGGCACCCTTTCTGACGAGAGGACAGGTCTGTCATTTACAATTGCTGCTGGTCCTCGCCAGCACAGTTATTCTCAGGTCCGAGTCCAGTGGGTCACACAATCATATTGTTACATGTAGGGGTGACTACAAGACAGGGTTTGGATTGGATGTTTGGATTTACTGCACTTATACACTCAACTCATAATTATAAGTAATGCAGCACTACCACTAATCTCTGCACATTGCAGTTCAATGCTGCTAACACTACTCCTTAGTTTATTATAGTCACTATCAATTTCCTGGTAATGGATGTCAACACAGGAATTATAACAGTTTTACTGAATTACACACGCTAAATATCATGGTACTATAGCATAGATAAAGCCTTCTCTTCACAACTGGACTTTCAACTCTCAACTGAACTCACTGCTATCTCTTCTCAAGCACCATCAACTGCCGTCTCAAGAGACTCTCTCAATTCTATCTCAGCCAGCCTTGGATCCTTTGTATATAGCCTCAGGTGGGTCCCAACAGAAAACACTGTTTCCTAACATTTCCTCTATTGTTATAGTGTGTTTACCTCGACCACTTCATAGAAACAGCTGTTTGTTTATCTGCCTATTGCATAGCAATGGCTGTACTTGTTACTGTCTCAGATTCAAGACTCCTCCAAACTGGAGGGTGGAACAAGGTGGCCAGTTTTACCTCCAGGCATTGGGTTCCCTTTGTGTCACCTCCTATAACTTGCTGGGCTACTGCAGAGGTATTCGGACCCACCTTCACACAGGAGTGACTGCAACTACTAACTGGTCCTGGTTCTAACATCTTGGCATGGGCCGCACAGAAAAGTCTCTTCCATAATTACTGTGGTCTCTCACTGCTATCGAAATATGCTTATTTGCAGAGCCATTACTTAGTAATGGCTGTTGTATAGCTGGCTGTCTCATGGTTGTTGCCTATCAATAGATCTACATGCCACAATATGTTTCACATATGGGTTTTATGCTGTTTACAGACAATAACAGAACCACCACGTCAGAATTGAACTTTTACTGTCCGAAAGGATGGTTTCAGAGTCTCAAAGAAAAAAATACATTTGCATGCACAAAGTTTCAGGCAACTCTGCTATGTTGAGAACCAGCCTATTATACAGGGTACATACAAATCAAAGTGGTCCGTTGCAAGTATGGGAGACTCTATAAACATGAACAAATCTTCACAACTTCTCATCCAAATAACGATAAAGAAATATAGATATCTGTTACTGGCATCCATTTTGACAATCACTGTTGAAAAATTGGAGTAAAACTCATCAAGGTCAGGTTTCATGAAAATCCATTCGTGGTTTTTAAGTTGTTATAAGCACAATGACAGATAGGACATTGCAAAGCTAATGGTGCATTTTTTCAACCACTCACTGTGCAGGTGCCAAAAGGAATAAACACTGTTATACTTGCATTAATGTTTTTTAAACCTGATTGCCACATCCTAATACATGAAATTACAATTACGCATGGGAAACATTTTCAGTTACTATGAGTTCCTTTCAGAACAAGCAGTTCAGAATTTCCATATATTTTCATTATACTGAGGTCATACTGTATATATCATAACACAGTTAATAACTTTATTATGTTGAAGAATACTTATGTATAACAGTGGCAAATGCTTCAGTCTGGCACTGTCAGATACAAGTGGAGGAGCATAAAAATGGTTTGGTTTCTTCCATTCAATAGAAGCTCTGTGTTCTACTTGGAATCACCTAAATATTTTGTGTAGGTTTTTAGCCACAGTATTTTTTAAAACTGGGGTTTCCTAAATTTGTATGTGGCAGGCCAGGGATGTGGGTGGATTCTCCATTCGACCATAGGCCCCAGAGCTGTTTTTTTGAGCACGGATCACCACAAAAGAGAGAGAATATGGTTATTAGTACCACTACATCATGCGGCTGAATTTCAGCATGACCTGAACACTTACGTAGTTTCCTTGCAAGCATGAAGGCTTCCCTTTCATTACTTCTTTCAATCTGTTTCATATCCATGAATGTTTTTGTTACATTCACTGTAAAAGAACACAACAGAAGATAAAATATCATGTGTCCATACTGTGATCAGTCATAAAGAGGTGAGAAAAAGAGTAAGGAGGGTCACAGACTTCATGTCAATGAAACAACATATCACTAAGCAAGAATAGCTATTTCTGCCATGTGAGTAGCTGACATATTGCCGTGCATATGACCACTGAAAAGGAAATCACACTGTCATTTACAGCCTATAGTCAAAGCCATTCTTTTTGTGCAATAAATGTAAGTAACCTATTAAAATAAAAATTATGGAGGATATGGGGTAAAGACCACGTATCCTGATGGGGTTTCTTCATAGTTCCCTTAGTCATTCCAGATAAATGTTAGAAGCGTACTTTAAAATATCCCAAGGCAGATTCCTTCCACATCCTTTTCAACACATCATTCACAACTCAACATATCGTCAGTGCTCCATAAATGGCTGAGTTGGTAAAGTGACAGTGAATAAATGAACAATTAATAAATATTATTTTGTTTCACTCAAACTGCCACTGCCAACAACACAGTCCAGCAGAAGAGAACAAAATTCTAAGATACTGGTCTTCTGGAATGTGATATGATATACTTCTATAGCATTTATAGGATATATTGTATATTCATATATTCTCATTACAACAAACAATGAGTTGTGAAAGATGTAAGAGGAAACAGCTGTGGTTTAATTTATGGTTTCCTCCTGCAGGGACTAAGAGAACAATGTTAGGTGAGTCCCTTGTCACCATGGCATGGTGCATCCTCAGGTTGCAGATGGAGGAGATGCCATCCAAGTATGGAGGGTAGCTGCAAATATACTGAATAAGCAGACTTGGATAGCCAACAAGGGGTGGCCCTCCAGCCTGGGGGTTGGGGCATTGGGCTAATAATTTCTCACCGTAAAGATAAGCTTGTTACAAAAGATCACAAGAAGCCTTGGGCCTGGATGGATTCCTTGGATAAATGACCTAAGCAAAACAAAATGGATGTGAGATTTGGTACTTGGAATCTTAGAAGTATGTAAAGGGCAGGTTCGCTCAGGGCATTGGTGGAAGAAATCTCAAAATATAACTTACATTTAGTGGGGGTACAGGAGATCAGATGGGATGGAGGTGGCACCAAACCAGAAGGCAAATATGCAATTATCTATGGAAAGGGGAATGAGAATCATGAATTAGGCAGAGGTTTTTTAATTCATCAGATACTGGAGAAAAAATGGGAGTACAATGATACACTACATTGGATATTCGTAGATGTCAAGAAAGCCTATGACTGAGCTAGGAGGGAAGTATTGTACAATATTCTCACAGAGTTTGGGGTACCCATGAAAGTAGTTAGGCTGATTAAAATGTGTTTTAATGAAATGGTAAAGTCTGTATAGGTAAACATTTGTCCGATAATTTTCCTATCCAGGATGGTCTAGAATAAGGAGATGCTTTATCGCCACTGCTTTTCAACTTTGCTTTAGAATATGCCATTAGAAACGTCCAGGAAAACCAGATGGGACTGAAATTAAATGCAACACATCAGCTGTTGGTCTATGTGGATTATGTGAATCTACTGGGTGATAATATAGAAACCACAAAGAAAAACACACAAACTTTAATTGACGTTAGTAAGGAGGGTGGTCTAGAAGTAAACACAGAGAAAACTAAGTATAAGTTGCTGTCTTGTCACCAGAATGCAGGGCAAAGTCATGATATACGAGTAAAGATAGCCAACACATGTTTTGAAAATGACACCGTTCAGAAATTTTGGAACAACTGTAACAAATCGAATCCTGAATCAGGAGAAAAATTACAGGAGACTGAACTCGGGTAATTCTTGCTACCATTCAGTCCAGAAACTTAGTCTTCTCCTCTGCTGTCTAAAAACATAAAAATTAGAATATATGAAACTATAGTTTTGCGCATGGTTCTGTATGGGCGTGAAACTTGGTCTGTGACATGAATGAACACAGACTGAGGGTGTTGAGGCGAATATTTTGACCAAAGAGAGATGAAGTGACAGGAGGTTGGAAAAAACTGCATAATGAGGAGCTTCATAACTTGAACTCTTCTGCAAGTATAAGTAGAATGATCAAGTCAAGGAGGATGAGATGGGCAGAGCATGTAGTGTTAATGGGGGAGAAGAGACCACTGGGAAGATCAAGACATAGGTGGGTGGACAGTATTAAAATGGATCTTAGAGAGATAGGATTGGATGGTATGGATTGGATTGATCTGGCTCAGGACACGGACTGGTGGATCACTCTTGTGAACATAGTGATCAACCTTTGGGTTCCATAAAGTGCTGGAAAGTTCTTGAGTAGCTGCACAATTGGCGGCTTCTCAAGAAGAGCTCAGCTCCATGAGTGAGTGAGTGAGTGAGTGAGGGACTGAGAGAAACCACAGAGAACTACAGTCAGAACAGCCAAGTTTCCAGGATGAAATTTTAACCTGGGATGTCCTGAAGACAAAAGATGAGTGTTAGACACCTGATTGCAGCACTTAATCAATCACTTGTTCATTGAAAAGCTATATAATACTACATTCTACTCAGAAGTCATGAACAGCTGCCAGTTTCTACACATACCGAGATTTCTTTGCTTCATAAATAATGAAAATCTGCCAGGCAGAAAGGGTTCAGATCATGAAATTCAGAATGAGTTTCAAATACACAAGCAAAACCTTTTCCACACTGCATCATCCTACATAAAATTTAGCAGTGGATGGTGTAACTGTGAAACAGAAGTGAGGAGTGATTTTGGCAGTATATACCCCAAAACTGAAAAGGAACTGTAATAAACTGTACAAACTTTGTAACAGCAGGTGAAATATAATGTGACTGTTTATCTAGGGAAACAATATGTGAATGTTGCTGCAGAAGAAAAATGGAGAGCTCTGGGCACAAGGTGTGTATAGACAATTATTTTTCATCTCAGCTCCTCAAAGACACTGAATTTAAAAAGAGGGATATCACATGTATGGTTAATGAAGGAAAGGGAAAGTAAGATAAAATGGAGATATATCTTTGAACCAGCAAGCATAATCCCCAGCAGCAAATCAATATTTGGATGAAGAAGAAAATACATAAAAGCTTTTCTGCATTGGAAGTTACAATAAAGACTCTGGATATGGGTGATATGACAGCATCTACACTTAATCCATAGACAGAATGTCCTGAATGGTGCCTTTTGTAGTTTCCCCTCAGTCCCAGCAGTTATGGGCTGGCATAGTACCTCAAACTAAGCCATAATCACTTCGTTCTACATCCTACCAATTCATTATTCACTAATTATTCTATCATTTAAAGCTAAATAGCCATAGTTACAGACAGTGTCATTAAATACACCATAAATAAATAGAGAGAACAAACTTTGTGATGTATGATTCATGTCACAAAATAATTTTGCTATGGTGAGACCATGAAGATTCAATATTTATCAAACGATATACTGTCATCTGCAGTATCAATATTTTAAATGGTATCACACAAAGTCACATTACTGAGTTTCTGTTGAAATGTAGTGGCCTTTGTGTTAGTGCCCTCTATCAGTGTTGAAATTCCAAACATTCACTGAAGCACATTTGACTTGAGGGATTATTGTTTATGTTACTACTGTGTTTGGCCAAAGGAAATAAAGAGAAAGTGCAGATAAGAGTCAAGCACACTGTACTGAGCTTCTAGAAGAAAGCACTGCAGAAGTGCCAGTATGACACTCTAGAGATGCGAGATAATTTCTCAGAAGAATCCATTCATTTACATCATGACATTCTAGAGGTGAGACAAAATTTCTCAGAAGAATCCATTCATTTGCATGGTAAAGTTTTCATAATTTTCTCTTACTTACATTTCTCAAACATTCCAGAATTGTTAACAAAACATGCATAGAATTTCAGTTGCAATGCAGGTCTTTAAACTGGTTATGGCATGGATATTTCATCAAAAAACGGGCACAGAAAGAGCTCTAGAGAAAGAATTTATCTAACTGCTTGTATACTAGACATTTCAATTCTCTGTCCTGTTACAGCAAATATCATACCTCATGACAGATTTCTGGTTAATATGTAAAATATGCAGGCAATCAACTGATGAACTTCATACTTTCCATGGCATGTGTTATCAGTTGACAAACCACATACATGTGAATGGCATAGCACACTCAGATATGTACTTACCTCTTTCTGTTTCATCCAATTCAAAGTATTTTATGATCTCCAGATCTTTTTCTTGCTTCCATCTAACAACTTTCTTTGCACCCTTCTTGGTCTTATGGTAGATGAGTACACCCCTTGGATACTTCTTGGGTGCATCTTCTGTTGAATCCTTTTCTTTAGTCTCATCAGAAGATCCATCTCGTTCCTTTACACTATCCTCTTTTGACAGCCTCCTTTTGCCTTCAACTGCTTTATCTGCTGCAGAATTAGGACTGCCTTCATTCCCATCCTCTGTAGTTGTAGGTGCTGTCAGAGGAAACAAAAAAAAAATAAACTGTGAAAGTATACATATAAACTTTGGTTGGAAATCCTTGAAGACAGACCACACAATACAGTCTTGTTTTCCACCTATAATGCAACAATATTAATTTGACAAGCTTAATTCATTCCATGTTTGTTAAATGTTTAAAAAGTCATTAAAATTATTAAAATATATGTACATTTAGTGTTTATGCTACATGTTTAAGCTGCATAGGGCCATCTTCAGGCAACACATCTTTTAAAGGGGTCTAATGCACTGTGTACTTGGTCAAAGAGTATTCACTGCAGAATGTCTTCATTGTTATTATTAACTTCTTTGAATTCTGATGTTGTAGGATGATTTTACTGGATGATTTTCTTCCTGTCTTATGTTTATGTCTTATGGCTGTTTTTGTGTCCCACTGGGTGTGCTGCTCTCTTAGTTATGTCTATCTAGTGTTACTTTTGTGTTCTTTAACATGTAGTTAAAAGAAATGTAGCTTTGAAAGTGTCAACTGAGTTAAAATAACTCAGGTCAGAATCCAATAGTCGGCTTCTGAAATCACAGTGAAAGTCTGCGAGCCTTAGGAGTTGGTGATCAAGTTACATACAAAATTAATGCATGCAGTTTCCAAACCTCAGAGACCATCAACAGATGTACTTACATTTTTGCTCTTCCTCTTCAGACTTTTCAAATAATTCTGCTGCATCTTTATCAGTCTTCTTTTCATTTGCCTTCATGTCATCACCTACTTCCATCTCATCATTTGCTTCCAAAGTGTCCTGATAAAACTGCAAAAGATTGTAATAAGATTTACTGGAGTATTATTACAAATTGACAGATCACTCTGCACATTACCAAATCCAAGACATCAGGTATTCAGCAAGAAGTGGAAGAATATTTCAGTGGCAAGTAAAAAGTTCCAACACAGACAAAAAAATACTTATTTTCAAATTTCTGACCAAAGGAAAGGTCAGCATTTTGAAAACTGAATTGAAGTTTCACAGCAGATTAACTGCTATGTTATTTGTCCACAATTTTCTTTTTTCTTTCAGATTATCTCACCCTACGCTCTCAAAGATTATCCCCTACCTATTCATTCATGAAAATCCACACAATTCAATGCTATACAACCTACACAGATAAAACAGTATTATTAAATAACCGAAGATTTACAACTTACCAGTCGTTGCCTCGCTAAACTTAATGTATCTACCAAATCACACTTTCTTAGTCCATTTGTTATGCTACTCACCTTGAGCAAAGGCCTGATGATAGGAGGTGATCTGTTGTCTTCATTATTGTTAGTGGGGGAGGATGGTGGTGTTGATTCCTTGTTGTTCTCATCTTCCTTCCCAGTGACTGGTTCTTTCTTTGCTTCAGGAGCATCTTTACTACTGCTAGTTCGTCTCTTACGTTTGCGAGGTTCCTTCTTTGTGGATGCAGTCAAGGCATCCATAAACATGTCACTTTCCTGAAGAAATGATGCTGTAAAAGAAAACAATGAAAACACTATTAAAATTCTGTTGAGAACAGCCTTCATTTTATTATAAAGTCTTAAATAAACATGACCAAATTGGACATAAAAACATTGCAGTTCTCTCTTATGACAAGCTGAAAAGAAAGAAAAAACAAAAACTAGAATGAAATTATCTTCTTTCATGTCTTCAGATAACTTCTGAATTGTGCTCTTGTGAAGTTTGAAGCTCCATACCTTCAGCACTCTACACTGACCTGTTAATGGGAATTAGAAATTATCACAAACACCATTTAAGCCCAATCCTGGATAATGAAGCACATACTTGTAGTGTACATTCCTGCTTTCATCCTGTAATGGAATATAATAATGTCTTCCATTGGAATAGATCTTCATTACTATACAACTAAAGAAAGAACTGAGTCTCTTGCAGATGAACATGTAGGCACTTGACAGGAGCTGGCTGAACATAAAGAAGTTACTTTGCATTTTCATCAACATGTATACCACACTGAAACAATATCTAACAAATGTATTTTACAAAAGAACTTCCAGCTGCTTTTAATTTCTGGATACTTAGTTCCTCCATATGGATATCTACAAAAATCAAAGAGAAGTCATTCAGACTCAAAATCTTATTACTTATTGTAAAGTTCTGTATTTGGATATAATTTGGCAGTCCAAGAGTGAAGTTTAAAAATGATATATTTCAAGTGATCTTAACAATCAGTTTTGTGAGGAATACATTTCTAGAAGCCTAACCTGAAGTGCTTCCACAGTTGTTCCATTCAGATATATTATAAAACCTTCACACAGTGCATGTTAAATTCAGTTTTCTGCATTCAATATAGTAGTGTGCGCTGTGTAAATAACTGAAGCCTAAAAAGGACTATGAAACATTCCTAGGATAACTGAAATTATGTTTCTGTGCTTGCAATCCCAATCATGAGCAACAGTAAGAGAAAGTGGTTATCAGATCTTGGAACAGACACCTCTTCACACACCATGAAACAAATTTTGAATATTTATAATGGAAAAATAAGGTCTACCACTCCAAACATCATTCATCCCAGTGTTAGGCCTACTGAGATCCTTTATGGATATTAAGAAACCGAATCCTGCCAGAATCTAATAATAAGTGCATAGCAGTTCAAGCAGTATTGTAATTCCAGACTAACAGGCATAAAAGAAATCAGATCAGGTTACTACGACTCCTGCCTCCTGTTTATATTGCTTACACAGAACCAAAATAATTTCTACTAACCACAATGCTGCTGGGGTTGTCACTGTTACTACTGGTATTACACTGGTCTTTTTTTTTTTGAACCACTAAAATTAATTCTATGCTAAGACAGAGGCCTGCATTTGTGATCCTGAATAAAAGGTTTCACATTTCTTCCAAAAAATAACTTTCGAATTCAGAAAATGCAAACCTCTTTATGATGAAAAGGGTATCAAGGAAACACATTTTTGAGATAAATAATTCCTTTATTGATAAGTGAAATCACACAATATATAAAACATTTTTTTACCACTTTAATCATAAAAATTATTATTCTCCATACATCAACTTTACAGAGGTCAGTCCCCTGCACAGGGTGCACATCTCAATAACGAGATGATACATGATGATATGTACATTTCCTCAACTGAAAATCATTAAGATCTTACAGATTTTGATATGTGAATCAATAAATACTATAATTCTTGCACGGAATTCTCTCAGCCACAGTATGCAGTCAAAATGACCAAAAGAATATTAAGCTATGGCATTTCCAACTGCGGACTTCATATGATGCAGTGCTCAAGGGAAACAAAAATTACTCCTCTGGCACCATATGACAAAATGTTAGGACATTTTGGGGACAATATTTTAGAAAGAACTATACTGGGCATGTACATAAATGTGATATACAGGGTGTTTCACGACTTTACGGCATAACTGCAGGAGGTGACTTCCTATATCTTTTTGATCAAAAAAGTTCATATAAACATGTGTCCAATTTTGGACGGTTACGGAGTTATGACAGTTTTTTCATTCCCGTACACGCCCTCGTGTGAACCGCGTCTATCATCTGACGGGTCGCTACTTTTAGCCAGCTACAGACAGAGCGTTCTCGTTATCTCGACACTTGAGAGGTACCTAAGGCGTGGTGGGTTGGTATGTCCGGCGCGGTTCACAACCGAGCGGCAGCCTGTGTTGCGGCCGGCGGTGGCATTTTCGAAAATCAGCTTTAAGCACCAATAAATTCAAAATAAAGGCAATTTCACGAAGTTAACTTTACATTCATACTTTAAATGTATCATGTATTATGCTGGTTTATTATTTTGTTCCGTTTATTGTCAGTAATCGTTACCTTCTATTCTGAGTTTAAAACGGCCATAACTCCGTAACCGTCCAAAATCGGACACATGTTTATATGAACTCTTTTGATCACAAAGACCTAGGAAATCACCTCCTGCAGTTATGCCCTAAAGTCGTGAAACACCCTGTATAATAAAACAACAGTTCATAGCATATATATATGTATTGGTCTGGTTTGGATTTTAAATCAAGTGAAAGGTTGTGGGAGGACAGACAGAACTAGACTATATGTAAATTTCAGCACTGTATGATTGAAGTTGCATAACTGCAGCATACAATTTTTTTTTTACATGCAATGTCCGTATCTGCAATAAGACCAGTCATGGAAGTGATGAAAACCTGTCATATTCTCACCTGTATATCAGGTGAACCTAACGCTCATTACAATGAGAATATTTGCATGTGTGCTTGGCAGTACTGCAGTGCTATAAACTATTATGAGTTTTAAACAAATCTCATACAATGGGATACTCATTCAGTTATCTGTGTAAGGGAACTTGTTGGTTATCGACACACTCATAAAGCCACTTTTCTATTCCACGATTTTCTATAACTGCAGATTTATTACTCTTATAAATATTACTGTTATTATGTTGTGTTTTTGTGAAGAATGCATTATTGGAGTGCAGAATCTGTCCATGTAAAATGTGTTTGATGCAAACTCTGGGATTGACTTAAAAGATTTCATGCAATAAGTGCAAGCATGTTCATGATCCACCACCAGTCAAAGTTTAATATTCCTAGCTCCAGTGGCTTATTGATTATCGCCATAAAATCAAAGACCACAGAAAATTTTTTAACAGCCTCCATCATCATTTTACATTCTAGGGCCCTAAATTAGGAATTGCTCCCACCTCACAAATTCGCACATCGTTATTATTACTTCTTGCAGAAAAGAACATGTTCCGGTAGCTTTAAGTGGCATAACGTTTATACTAAGTTTCGTAAAAACGGTCAATTGTTGCAAATGCTGAAACGACACAGACCTCAGAAGCCTGCTCTTCCTTTACGAAAGTAGGCGAACTATTTTTTGCATAATCTTATGTGATTTTATAGTGTGTTTCAGTCAAAAAGCCAGGACATTCCTTTAGTATTTCGTTACAAGGCGGCGCATTTACGAATTTCGAAACTTTGCTATTTGGTTCTGACTAAAAGGGAACCAAGGACTAAATAAGTCCTGTTGGCAAGGTTCAGTTTTAACTCACGTGTCTCTCACAAATTTCGGACTCTTCCTCAGTACTCATTTCTGCCCGTGACAAGAGACAAACAAGGACAGCCTATGCAAAGCAAGCAAATGAATCACCCTTGCTTCTTAATGTAACGTGATCCAGTGACGTCAACGATAATTTCACGTTCTCGGGCTTTAAGAATGATGTATTTTAATTGAAAAATTATGCGCAAACTTTATCATTCACATTACACGTAGCACCTTGTAAATGCCCACTTTTTACACTAGTCGTTTTCAACAGAACGGGCAGTATCCTGAGATAAGTACTGCAGTGTTCAACGCATCACCCTCCCCAGACCTAATTCAGCTGCAATCACTGCCTCGTTCATTCTCGGTGAAATTCTCACGCATTTCAAAAGCGAAGGGGGGGAAAAAAAAGAGGACTATAACAATAATTACAATTCGCAAGCGCACCCACGTTTTGAACCATGTCTAAAACTACCCAGTGTACTGGTTATTGATCGTAATTACGTAACTCATGCAGCAGTCTTTTTTGAGGCCACAGTCAATCAGTTGTCTTTTATGGGACCCTGAAATTCACTGCCGTACCTACAGGAATCATATAATAATCCAATGAAAAAGTCAAAGCCCGATCATCTTCTATTATTTCACAACTTTCTTTCTTACTGCGCAAGTGAGTTAGCCACCGCCCAACCCTAACTGGAGGGTCACCCTTCCTTGGTTATTTGCATATTCAACATATTCGCAACTACCCTTCTGTCCGGAGGCCTCACTTCTATTTAGCTACGTGATGACGCGCCATGCCTAGGTGACAAACGGATACACTTCATTACTTGTTCCACACCTACTAGTTTGGTTTGAATCTAGAATTGAAACCATTTAATGCAATCCCATTATAATTCCAGAATTCATTCATCTATGGTTCGAAATATCGCAGTTTTATACATAACGTCAGTGGCTGCTTCCCAAACACCATCATAAGAATTCCGCAAACTAATCGATTGCCCGCTCACGACATACGCGCCATCCTTCATGGAACTGAAAAAACGACTGCTTTCGCTGATAACTCGTACCTGACGCAATACAACATCTCCATTAGGCATGTCGAAACTACTAAAACGTAAACCTTTAACTAAAACACTCTATGCACCCGACTTCACAGAGCCAACATACACGTTATGGTATAAGATTTCTTTCTAGAATAAGCGCGTTCTTTAGGAATTCATAATTAATTCTTCACGGCGTTTAACTTGTAAGTTATGCCATAATCTTTACTAACATTTCATATAAATGTTACATGGAATTACGCTACCAAATTTAGTCGCGTTATCTTCCATGCACATATTTGAATTTGATTATCATGTTGGAGTATGTTTAGAAGCGCAAATAAATGAATACTGCTCAACAAGTATTGTTTGGTTTTATTTTCTGGAATAAAATAACTTGCGAATGCCATA